GGGCAATATGCTGACTCTGTAAACCGCTTAGAGAGGGCTAAAAGCCCTATGAAGCGGTATATAAGTCTAACTGCTATTGCTATTGCTATTGCCTCCAAATTCTGCACAGTGATATTTAGCCCAGTGATACATTATGGAATCAGCTTGTCATTCATTCATCTTTTAATTCCCTGTTATTATTAACTTAATCTTATTAGGTTTAGTTGCCACCCACTTGCAGTCCTTGATCTTCTGGTTGAAAATATTTCATTAAAAAAAACAACAACATTCTAACCTTAAAATGAAATCGGTTTGCTGTTTGGTATTCTGCAGTGAGATGTAGCTTTTCAATATCATTCCCAAAGAGGGATGGAGAAGGTAGTCTTGTTAGAGTAGCTTCAAATCCTAAGAAGGAAGGAAAGGAAGGAAGGGTGTTACTTCCAATATTGACAATAACAATAGTTACATGTGGTCTGCTGGGTACTCCTCATTCGGGACAAAGCAAAGTAAAAGAATAAGGCATGCAGTTTACCTATGAAGCATTCTGTCCATTCTGACCTTTAGATTAAATCTGTATTCAACATATCTGAAGCATTTTTCAGTCCAGCTTCTATTTTTTAATTTTTAATAAAGGAAGTTGATTAGGGTGAACCTCTGGACGAAAATCAGTCAATGAATTATAGACCAAAACAGACTTTGAATCAGTGGTGGGATTCACATTTTTTTACTACCGGTTCTGTGGGTGTGGCTTGGTGGGTGTGGCTTGGTGGGCGTGGCAGAGGAAGGATACTGTAAAATCTCCATTCCTGCCCCACTCCAGGGGAAGGTCACTGCAAAATCCACATTTCCTCCCGATCAGCTGGGACTCGGGAGACAGAGAATGGGACAGTGGGGCCAGTCAGAGGTGGTATTTACAAGTTCTTAGAACTACCCAAAATTTCCGCTATTGGTTCTCCATAACTGGTCAGAACCTGTTGAATACCACTTCTGCTTTGAATTTATCTCTCTATATTATGCATTCCTTTTAGTTGATCCACTTCATTCTGGAAGCCTCTATACTAGCCTTCTCCATTGCATGGAAGCTGATGCCCCTTGAAAATGCTGTAACAATTTTCTGCATTGCACTTAGCCACTGATAAATTGCACAATGATTGAAAGAACTTCATTGACTTAAATTTTCTATTAGACCAAGTTTAAGGGGTTTTTTTTGTTGTTTTTTTTGCTTAATCTGTAGGGTTCTAAAAAAACCACCGAATCTGTACATGAAACAAAAGGAAAATCTGCTTAAGTCCTTTCCTAGTTTTCTCACAACTTGTGGAGTCTCAGATCCATATGAATCATTAATATCTCATCTTACTGGCACTTAATTAACAATTATTTTTATTTATTTCTTTATAGTCCAAGACAAAGTCATAGTAAACAATAAAACAATGCATAATAAAATACTGGAAAATTATTTATTTTTATATGTATTAATTTTATATTTAGAAGTGACAAAAATAGTAAAAAAAAAAACAACTTCTCAATTTTAACCCTACCCCCCCCCAACTAAAATAACTACAAAACCCAATTTTTTACTAAATAGTAAAAGTTTATTAACAAACATGCTAACCAGGGGTGGGTTATGGCAGTTGCTACTGCCAGTTCACTCATGGCCGTGCCACGTGGGCATGCACAGTGCAATAAAACTTGTCTTCACATGTGCAGAAACAAAAAAAACAAGGTAGCAGCGCCTACGGTGCCACCTGGACAACCGGTCCGAGGGTGTGGCAGGCCTGGCTGACTGTCTGTTCCAGCGACTCAGGACGAGAAACCACTTCCGTTTCAGCCCAAGGGGTCCAAACCGGTAGGAACCCACCACTGATGCTAACGTAGCTTCTTGATTCAGAAAGTTTAAGAATTTAGGAATGGCTGTTTCTCTTTCCCATGTTAAGTGGTGCAGATACAAAGAAGACACTTGATCTATCAGATTTTAAGAGTATTAGTAAGAAAGAAATTAAGCATTAAGTTTATCCATATGCTGAAAATACTTTTATTTTACATTTTATGTTCATTGCCTTATTTACATGCTGGGCATGTTGTATCTACAAATATCTAATAAGTCTGGAGTTTAGGTTTCTTCAGCTTACCTGGATTTGTATCTGACATTCTTCCTTGAACTTGGTACCCATGATTTTTTGAAAAGTAGCACCAAGGTACATGTGTTTCATTCTGAGGATCCCAGCAACAGCCACGGAGTACACACAGATCCTGTATCATTAGCATTAAAAGGAAATAAGAACTGTGATCATCAAAATAAACTCCAGATTAATTTTGGGACAATAGCATGTGTATAATCATTAATGACTGGAATGCAATGGCTCGCTGGCTAAGATGCTCAACTTGTTGATCAAAAGTTTGGCAGTTCAAATCCCTAGTGCCATGTAACCAGGTGAGCTCATGTTATTTGTCCCAACTTTTGCCAACCTAGCAGTTCGAAAAATGCAGTAGAAAAAATAGGAACCACCTTTGTTGGGTAGGTAACAGTGTTCCGTGCACCTATGACATTTAGTCATGCTGGCCACATGACCATGGAGAACTCTTGGGTCAGCACTGGCTCTTCAGCTTTGAAACGGAGATGAGCACCGTCCCTTAGAGATGGAAATGACTAGCACATATGTGCAAGGGGAACCTTTACCTTTACCTTTCATCATTATTGACAGGCAAGCTGCATAGTTTGAAACCAACTATCACTGACCTATTAAGTGGGTTTGTAATGTTCATATATATCTTTTGAAAACAGATTTGCAATTATAGGTGTTCCAAAATACCAGTAAGAGTTGCTTTTCAGGCTTTTAAGCATTCAAGCAACTGTTATATAAGCAATAGTAGCTAACATACAGTATGTTAGCCACTAAAAAAATAACTTCCTTTCCTACTTAGAACTGAGCCGAGGTGGCGCAGTGGTTAGGGTGCAGTACTACAGGTCACTTCAGCTGACTGTTATCTGCAGTTCAGCGGTTCAAATCTCACCGGCTCAAGGTTGACTCAGCCTTCCATCCTTCGGAGGTGGATGAAATGAGGACCTAGACTGTGGGGGCAATTTGCTGACTCAATTTGCT